GTCTGTGATCCTCCTTCTTTAGCATGCTGCTGCTGGACTGTTCTTCAGCAGGCTTCAACAAAGATTCTGCGTCTCTCTCAAACTTTCGGATTTGTCCCCAAAGCGGCCATTTGCCATCCTTATCATCTATGTCTTCACCTATTTGAATCTTGGTGGCCCTTCTGTGTCGTGTCTGGTCTCTATGCAAAATGTCCGTCATTGCATGATGTAGAAAAGCCAGTGTGGATGAATGGTAGAAGTTGCCAGTCCCCTCTTCATTAAGGCTATCCTCGAGCTTCCTCAGGCGAAGAATGGCGTCCTCTTCGCTGGTGATTGGCTCCTCTTTCTTCAGTAGGTCTCTTGAATCAAGCAGAAGCAGCGGAATTCCACGAGCAACCTGATCCGCCAATCTCTCGATGCTTCTTAGTCCCCATTTGTTCTGCAGGGTTGACACAGCAAAACCAGGGATCTGGCTGACTAATAACGCTTGGATCATTCTCGCACGCAGGATGTTGAGAGGTATCCAATCTCGCTTCCATTCATGTTGGTGTTCCCCGCTAATGCAATCCACAACGATATAGTGCGTGCAGCCATCTGGGGCATCCACATAGTGATTGTGATACGCGCTCTCAGCACCAAGGCTTTTTCTGCTAACATACCACATCTTCGATACAGAGTCTTCCCAGTTCCTGGAAGCGTTTCGCAGCCTGGAGGCGACTGTAGCTGGATTTTCACTGGAGATCAGTACTTGCAGAGCATTGATGAATGTCAGGACAAAAAAGCCCAAATTCCCTCGGCGCCGCTCGGCCTCCGCAGCGCAGAGTCGCCCAAAAGCGCGTGACAAGCTGCATTCAGTATTCTCCAAAATGATGAGGGCATTGTGCTGTCTGGCCAGCGGCAGCAAGCATTCTTTCAAGAAGGCTTGAATCTTGAATTCCGTCTCCTGCGCACTTTTGAAGTCCGTTTCGGACACGAAGTAGTGCTCCTTGTTGAGATCATGACCTTGAAGCTCGCAATCGCCCCAGTGGTGCACTATCAACTCACTGGAAGAATACTGGCCCTTGCCCACTGCTGTAGAACCGAACATCTGGATAACAAGTTTTGGTCGTGGAAAGAAATCCAAGCCAGACATGACTCGATCAACGCTGTCCAGCGGGAGCATCCTTGCTTGTCTGTTGGACAGGAAGAGTAGCTTCCGTTTCACCTCTGCTCCTCCTACTTCGACCTTCACGGTGTCAACGAGCCCAACGACCGTCTTGATCTGCAGCTCTTCCAACTCTTTGCGAGCTGGATCCTTCGTGCCCACGGCATTCTGTAGAACGTACTGCTTTTCCTGTTGATTTGGAGGAGCACGTTCTCTATCTGCAAGCCGGTCAAAGCGGTACGGGATGGGGATCGGTGGCAAAGGGTCCTGATTCTTGACCGCTCCAATGGTGACACCATTGAAGCTGTGCTCTGCAGAGACGCCATCGAGTAGAAGCTCCTGCCGCAGAGAAGCTCATGCCTCCATCGTCTTTCAACACGACGTCTACCCCATGCTATCTGATTCACATATGTTAACCTCTCGCCCGCTGAAAACCCCCGTCCTCAGGCTTCAGCTCCTTCCTTTGACCTGGAGCCCAATCCTCCTCCTCCACCTCCTCCTCCGTGAGCTCATCCGGGGGAACAAGCCGAACCTTCAACTTCTTCAGGCGGCGAACCTTTGGGCGAGCCTTTGGGAGGCGAGTTGGCTGGTTCATGGCACTGATGGTTGGCAACGAAGATGAGACTTGCATCGAGAATGAGACCTGTGTTCAACACATCACTCATGAGACGTGATGTCACTCATGTCGTGTAGACAACAAATCATGACGGACTCATTTTGACCTGGAATTATTGGACGTTGTTTCTCGCGTAGCCTTTTGAACTATGTTGCTAGCAAACATGCAGGGCCACATCAAGCGGTTGTTTCTTCAAGCGTTCCAAAGGCAGTCGTGCAAGAAGCTGAGATACATTGAACGCATCAACCCAAGAAGGCGCCCCAAATCCTGTTCAAACATGAGATGCCACCCAACTCCTGTTTCAGATCCCAACCACTGAAAACTGCCAGTGCTGACAATCGTGGCCAAGTGAGACCCTCCTTTGACATGGGAAAGTGACGCAGAAAGGCATGGAAAACCATCTACAGTAAATACATGAGTATCTCAGATTGGTGCATCATTGACCAAGGGCACTCCATCATGTCCCAAGAGATGCCAAGAGCATGCACCCACCCGCGGCACCCATCCACCTTGACTGTTCGCTCTTTTCTATCTGTGCGCTTCCAGGTGCGTGAGAGCGGGGCGGCAGGGCCTCCTGAAAAAAACAGAAATCCGAGTCCATGAGCCCGAGTCTGGGAGGGGAACATGGCCAAATTGGATCCACCCGACCAAATCTTGAGCTCGACTGCAAGGTCAAGCAATTGAAGAATGTTGTACAAAGCATACGCTCCCGACACTTGATGTAGTGTAGACTCTGGATTAATGAACCCCACATACAAAGAGGTGTTTCAATCCAAATGGCAACAAATTTATGAATCAATAGTCTACACTACAGAATTGGATTATCACATGATTTTTTCTCCATCTGTCCAGCACCTCAACCTCGCTCCGCATCGGCTGCTCCTCAACATTGCTCGAGTCGCTCGAGCTGTGCACTCTGCCTCGACCGACAGGCGTCACCACTGAACGGGCACGAACGACCAACGTCACCGGCCATTGCTGTGTGTCAAGGCATTGCGAGAAAAAGGCATCGCGAAACCACAGCAGAAGGAGTGCTTTCTAAACCACCGAAACCACAGCAGAAAGCACCGACCATTGTTTGTTTGCTGTGGTCAGAAACTTGTTTTTGACCATTTCAGTTTGTTTTGTGCGTCCAAATCTCCCCTCCGCAATCTTCCGACCTCGGAAGAGGCTTCGCTGCGGAAGGTAGGCAAGCCTGCCCGAGAAGAGGGGAAGCAGGAGTGAAGCGAAAACGCAGCTGTTGAATGTGTCCTTCGTAGCATTTCTTTTGAGAAGGGTCTCATGCTAGCATGTTCCGACTCCCAAAGCGCTGCCTCTTTCGACTTGGCAAAGAGATAGTTGCACAAGGTGGGCAGCGAATATTCCGCTTAAGATCTCTATGTATAGATCATTACTCGAGCTTGAACTAGCCCTCAACTGAACCACTCATCACTCGTCATACCTTTGCTGAGCGGAAGTTGCATTTCCTCCAGTGGTGTCTCATGAGTTGAACTACTGAAAGATCTGAACGCGTCAACACAGACTCACCCTGAGAGCCAGCATCCAATCACGCCTGACTAGCAAACATCGGTAGCTTCAGCATCCAATCAAATCTGATGTACACATTCACCAACTTCATGTATATGTGGAACCCACTATGGAACCCCTGAGCATTCTGAGAATTTGTTGCTGAGCCGGCTTGCTGCAGAAAACCTGCATTCAGCAACTTGTGATGACGAATGCTATGACTTCAGTACTACCATTGCCTTAACAGTGCACCAGCCAAGTGAACTCTACGAAGGTAGCAACCAAGTCAGCTGGACCACTGCAAATAAACATGTTCGCCAATGGTTCAAGAAATTGATAGAAATTGACACTCACCCTGCCCGAGTCTCTGCTTCATCCCCAAGCAGCGACATCCCCAAGAGTTTTCAAGACATTCCCTAAGCAGCTCCTTGGAGCTGGTGATTCACTTCAGCTAGGAGCTGAATCCAAAAAGCTGGTGCTTGAACCCTTTTCTCGACGCCGGAGGAGTCCAACGAATCACCCCTTCGACCCCACAAACCACACGTTGAACGGTTGGGAGACACGAGCGCTCCCCGTTCCTTTTTTGTTGGGACACGAGTTCACGGAGTTGGTCGAGACGAGATGGGCAGTCTCTCAGTCCTCACATGTTGGAAGACTGGATAGGCAAGGCGAGCCGAGGCAAGTCGTCTGTAGGGGCCCTGGCGTAAACGGTACTTCTGATGTTTGATGTCCGGTGGAGCGGAGGTTTTGGCCGGATTTTCGTTGGGCGGCGGGTTTGATGCCGGTGTGCTGAGCTCGTTCTTGACAATCGAACGACATGTTTGAAGCCTACTTCAGTCTTCACTGGCGGTTTTTGATGGCTGAAGCATGCGACAAAACAGTGCTATCTTGGAGATGTCACACCTCCCTCGAAAAACACTTGCAGGGCCTTCCACAGGGTCTATATCCTATACATCCACTTGAACTGCGTGATGAGAATGGCTGAATTCTTCCATGCAGAACGGGAGAACCCCCGTTGGTGAGACGCGTTTACTTTTTTGCAGCTCCAATTCGCTGTAGTAGCTGCTTGGCTAGTTTTGCCAAAGGCCCTGGTGTTATCTGTTCTTCTCAGGTCATTGAAATTCCCCCGCAGGGCTGAGTTTCAATGCCATTTCAAGTAGCATGTTGATGCATGTTGATATGATTTCACAATTTATCTCGTGACGGATGCTCCAAGCATCAGATCTTCTCACTATATCTTTTGGTGTCACCAAGCATCCTTTTCCTCCGATCTGTGGAGAAAACGAATCAGAGCCGCTGTTGGTTCAAGTGGAATCTGCGTACGAGTCCGACATCTCCAATCAATTCGTACGGGTCCACATCCCCTGTTGCGGGCGCTGTACTAGTAACATGGGGCACAGAATGCAACATGGGACATCTTGAGCCATTCTGGGTAGACGTTTGAGGTGGTCCATGAGTTTCTCCATCAATCGTGAGCAGTGCGTGTGTGTGTTTTCATGCTAATTGCTGCATCCTGCTGTCCTACGTGATTGAATTCAATTCGGGGAATTTAGCATCATTAGAGATTGTTCATGATTGTTCCCTGAATCAAACCAACCAAACAACTTGCGGAGGCCTTTTTTGATGCTAGCTGAAGAAAGCTTGAGGTACAAAAAGACTCCTTAAAAGACCACAAACTTCTAGTATCTTGTCATACTTATCTGGACATCAATCCCATACCAGTCGACTCTGGGTATCCTGGGAGCTCCTGCTGATGGCTCTTGTGCTTTTCTGGAGATCTCTGGCTCAAATGGGTCGCGTCTCAGACATCGCATTCAATGCCGAGCCTCTCGGGATGGTCGACGACCACCTCCTGCGGTGACGTGACGACAGCGGTTTCGAGCGCCGGACGTCATGCAGGAGCCAACGGCTTTCTCTCTTGGCATCGGTTTTCTCTGCTGGATTTCAGAGACATCCTGACATCCTGTTGGCATCTGTTGGTTTTCTATTCTTCTTTTCTTTTGATTGATGTCTGTGTGGTGGCTCGACACCTGTGTCCGAGGCTTCAGGCAGCTTTCCAGGCTGACAAACGCGCCTGCACGTTCTATGTAAATCAACATGAAATCAACATCAAACAATGCCCCAAACAGTGCCTGCTGGTTCTAACAATGTTGCTGGTCTACTTGGGTTGAAACGCCTGATGTCTACACTGGTCCAGGTCAACAGACTTGAGATACCCTTCCCCGATCGACCCTGTCAGCCTGTGTGTTTGTGCTTCAGCCTGTCAGAAGTGCAGCCGGTGCAGCCAGTATTTTTATGTATTTTTATACGTTGGTCTTGTGAATAGAATCGTTTTGCATCCCTGGAGCTTCACCACTTACCAACACTAAAATTTGACTTGCACAAAGTGTAGGACTCTTGTAGGACTCGAATGAAGTAAACGGAGTCACACGGAGTGAACACAATGGTGTGGCTCCTGTATTTCCCCCATCCTGTTTGCAATCGCTACTTGAAGCTGTTCTCACAGTGTAGTATAGTCTTGCTTTGCTTGTCCTAGCAAAAAAACTTTGCAGTGGCATCACTGTATCATAGGACCATCCAAACCTCCTGTTCCTCCTCGTCCCTTCCCAAATTTAGAAAACCGGTCGAAGTCGAAACCCCACCATCAGCGTCGTCGGCTCATCATCAGCCGTCCCAAAAAAGGAAAAAGAAGGCGCCCCGTCCGAAACGAAAAGCCGCGCCCCAAAAACGCAGCGCCCTGTCCTGTCATTGATCATGTAATGCCCCTCTTTGGCTATCCCTCCTGCTCCTCCTGCTCTGTCTGAAGCTCTTTCAGTTGCTGTGTCAGGCTTGCCACCTGAGATTTCGTTTTCGCCGCACGTCAGCAGCTCTGGACGGCTGTGGGAGAGTTGCTCACCTGAAGGCATCTCCTATGTTAAGCTAGCTTCGGCACAGTAGGGTATTGGTGATCTGACCAACGCATTGCTTTGGCAATGCCAAACAGCATCCTCATGTTAGGCTAATTGTTAATGTGGGTGGGTCACCCAGAAAAGTCATCCAAGTGGAAAGAGTATTCAAAAGTGCATTCTTAAGAGGAAGTTTACACTTAGCTACTTGTGGCGATGCCTTCATTCCTAGCCAAAAGGAACCTTGTGAAACTAAGAGCTTGCAATCTCGGGAGGTCCGGGGGTCCGGGGGTCCGAGGGTCAACACTGCATTGGGTCTGGTGTTTTGTGTCTTTCCCATGTGATACCTTCACTTCTTGGCTTCCCACCTTGGCTTCCAGCTCGGCATTCTGACGCCGAAGCTCATCATTGTCCGCCCTTAGCTCTTCGACATCCACACCTCGCGCAGCGTGCCTCGTTTTCACACCGAGGAACTGTCTGCTTGGATGTGATTTTCTTGGGTATCTAATGTGTCCTGCAGTCCTGGAGGGTGTGACCCAGCTGAAAAGCTTTCCGAGGACATGTTTCTTCAATACTACACTGGCTTCAGGGAGTCTGCTTGTCAGTATTACTGTATCACTGGTCGTCAGACATGAGGTGTACTCTCCCACCAAGAAGTGGCGCAAGCATGCGCAAGCTACCCATCTTGTGCTATGGACTGAGCGCAAGCATCGAGGCTTAGAGAGTTCAGAAACGCCGAGCCCCCGCACACAAAAACCTCTGGCCTTTTGATACCATCCAAACGGAAACGAGCACATCCCATGTGCTTGCATACTTTAAGTCCTCTAGATTCTTCGGATTCTCCTGTAACTCAAGAATGACCTCCCTTAGCATCCGGGTGTTTTTCAGTCAACTCCGCGCACTTCTCGCGCTGCCTGTGGGAGCCCCCAGGTATTTTTTGATGTAGTCGACAGCCTAACAGCCCAGGCGTGACGGTTTTCGACACCGGGACCCTGGTTTGTCGATGGTCGTCAAATCCCGGCGCTAGCCCATTCATTGAATCTCATGGCAAGTTGCGAAATCTGCTGTGTTTTGCGTCCAAGTGGATTCATCTATTAATATCTATTAATATATATATATATATATTATATATTATATATGTATATATACAATTACATACAGTATAATCATACAAGATCATACATGTATGATTCTGATCGGAAAAGCTCGTGATAAGAAAGCACGTGTCATACTGAGAAGAAAGCGTCATGCGTCATACGAGCTTGATTTGCGGTTCTTCCAAATCTTCAAACCTTCAAATTTGCGCGGAGACCATCTTCGATCTGTTGCCCAATTCCCTGGCACTAGGTTCCCCATGGTTCCCCATGGTTCGATTCGCCGGGGTGCCCGGAAAGCCTCTGTAACCATTCCGAACCCACAAGACCATCTGTGTGAGCATGTGGCCTGGAGTGAATCTAGAACAAGGCTGCCAAGGATGAAGGTGCAGGTCCCGAAATCAATGACCAGTTCCGGGCCAGTCACGTGGAATCAGATCTAAGTCGAACTTTCATAGACAAAAGATCAGAGCACGCATCCATATGCATCAAATAGTCACACCATTTGTTTGTGCATGCAATCACCCCAGTTTCGCGAGTCTTTCGGATCGGGAGTTTCACCACTGTGCTCGGTCCCCGGGCATTGGCGGGACGTTCGGGTTCCTCATAGAGTCCCACAAGCACACGGGTGAGCTGAGAGATGATGCCGTTCTTCCTGAGTGGGCGACTTGAGGCGACTTGAGGCGACAAACGTACGATGACTGGGCGGAGGAGCACGCCAACAAAAATGGGTGATCGGCAAACTGGCCATTATCGGGCCTTAGTAACTTAGTACAATTGCTAGACTTCGTTACTTCGTTCCCATCTGATGACGATCCAAGGCCGCTGCTCCAAATACTTGCGGAACTCCTCCTTCTGCGAGTCTGCAGTTTCGTAGCTCATGGCCCTGGCATCTTTCTGGTACGAGGCTCTTCCCCAAAAACCCACTGCATTGAGGGGTAAAAGCCGCTTGTATGACCTGGATGGTTCAGTCCATACCTCCTTGAAGGAATCTTCTTAACATCAAGAACTTGTCTGATTGACATTGGCCGGCATACTAAACTCGGATCTCCTGCATTGCGATTGAGAGTTTCAGAATCACATTCAGGCTTGCACACCTCCCTGCTCCGAAGCACATTTGCCAAAGACAATCAGAGATTAATGAAGCACACTCTCGCAACGTAAGGTAATGCATCCAGCCAGTATGAGTCAGTATCAATCTTATCACTCTGGCGAGCCGGCAGCCATTTCATAAGACCCTTCCAAATCAGCTGACCACTCTACAATGCGGGATTCCCAAAGTCTCCATGATTTCTGCGTAACCTCCCAACTTTTCCCTGTTGAACTGCTGGACACCTTTACAGCGTTCTTTGCAGAAGGCGGCATGTTGTCCGAGATCCAAAAACTCCATCGTTCGGATCGAGCAGTCGAGCTGACAGCTAGGTCCTATAGTCAGCAAAAACGATGTAGGAGTTGAAGTTCATCTTCATTGGCTTCATGATTCCCAACATGTGCCTGGAAGTTTCTCCCGGGACATGTGGTGTTCAAACCCACCCTTTTCGCACCACACACCGTGGCGAGGTTGCGGCCTCCCTCACTGCGGAGAGGACGTCAGACAACTTTGGGCGTTCGGAACGGGCGTATCGTTGGGCCAGAAGGGCTGTGGTGACGGCCACAAGGATTGGGCATGCATCTGAATCAACCGTCTATTTGAAGATACAAACGATTTGTGGGTTGCGTCACCTTACGGTCCAAGGGTGCGTCACCTTACACATGCAGGTTGACCTGTGCAACCCTACAATAGTCTTGACAGGAAAGCATGCTTGTGAACCTCAAAGTATGATCTGTGTGTATACATTATAGATCCCCAAATAGATAGAAGTTCGTAGTTCCCCAGATAGAACATGTACTGGAAACCGTGCCAAATGGATCCCACATGGATCCCAGCTTCGCAGCACCCACTTTTCAGCTCAACAAATGTCTGAAGCGGCCAGGCAGTGGGGCATAGAAGACCTCGTCCAGCAAAATGGCTCGGTCGATTGCTGTTGGCACAGGACATCTGCAAAAAGGATCAAAAAGGAAGTATAGTGACCCACAAATAGATAGGCTTTGGAACATCTTCGTCTGCACCGTTGAACATCAATACCGTTGAACATGTCGGCATCAGTACCCCGTTGAATCATGTCTTGAGACTGATTCTGTCGTTATCATGTGTTGGGGTCCTTATGATCCTTATGGACTCACGATGACTCACGTAGTTCCAGGTGTTTTTGCACCTAACTAACAATAGGGACACAGAGGAAGTTAAGAAGTTACCTACTCCACCAATTAGGCTTGACTCACTTCAATGAAGAAACCACTGTATTCAAGAAACAGTGGTCTAAACTCTCCGACCGGATTCGGTTTCTTCATGTTTTTCTGAACTCAATCAATGAAGCCACTCAGACCGACCCAGGTCCCAGGCCGCAGTGTCCAGCAGCTGCAAGCTATCGAGACCTGGGTCCGACGTCCAGAGAGACGTCCAGCATCCCGAAAACAGGGTTCGAAGCGTCCAGCGTGGATGGATGATGCTTCCAAAAATGGGTCACCGGAAAAAGCAGCACTCAAATCTCTGGGCTTTGATTCCAGCCCAGCTTGGGGCTGAGGGGTTCTTCGTTCAACGGCCTTCCTTCAACATCAGTAAAAGCCGGAACCCTCTACAGCAGCCAATCCTACACTTAAACCGCAAATATCGACTTCTCCAAGAACAAAAACAAGGTGAAAATAAAGAGTCCACAGGAGCTGAGTCAACATCTCCATTGCACTATATACAAAAATGTCTTACAAACATATATATTATATAAACATAAATATATAAGTAACTTCTGAGCAACACCTTAACCTCCAACCCATCCGATGAGGACGTTCACCCTTACACTTTCACCGGGCAACACCGGTTGTCCTTTCCGAGTGCCCCGGGCCGACGATGTTCCGGAAGTGCGGGCGCCTGGGAGGCCGCATGGGACGTCAAGTGGGGACCTCCAAGAGCTACACCTGGGATCTTTGAACCTGATGGGCATGGTTCTTTGAGCCAGACTGCGCTTCCACAAAGTGTTTTTTTAGGTTCCATGTGAATCTTCCATGAGCTATGAGCTAGCTGTCAACACCGATGTCTTTTTCCAGATCCTGCAACAGGAGGGTCTTTCAGGAAGCTGATGATTGAGGCGTGAAGAAGGCGTTCAGTCGGTCGGAGTCCAAGCGGGGCCAGCTATCTGTGGCTATCTGTGAGTGAGTGATTGCAAAGGTCATGAATCAAGCTCTTGGCGGTCTAAATCATCTGACAAATCCATTTGCTCTCCTTTACCGGTGGAGACTGCAATTAGCTAGCAACCAGCAAAGAAACATTGGTTCAGTGTCCGAATTGGATTGGCATGACTTCTCACTCAAAAAAGGCGATCATCAGTGGCTCATGGTGTGGGAGTTCAAGACACAGAATGGCACCTCTGCACTCTGAAGACCTGCAGACCTGCAGACCAAGTCCTTGTGAACCGAGACTCCACACACTCCGGCGGCGCATGAGGAACCGAGTGCTCACGCCGGCCTGACACAGCAAGTGCCTTGGCAGCTCTGAGGTGTGTAGCTCTCCAGGCGCCACTGGCGCGCACCTCAAAGTGGCCGCGTTTTTGGGTGTTTTGAGCGTTTTTCTTCAGCTTCTATCAGTTTCTCCTTGTGCCGTTACTGGAAGGTCCTTTCCGTGCTATCCAACTCGAGCCATAGTTGAGTGTGAGATTCTTGGGAGATACTGATAATAGTAGTAGTAGTAGTAGTAGTAGTCGTCGTCGTCGTCGTCGTCGTCGTCGTCGTCGTCGTCGTCGTCGTCGTC